TATAGTCAGTCACAATTACAATGGTAGCGAGAGTGGTCGAATTTTGTTGAAAGAAGCAAATGGAGAACCCAACGAGGCGAGTTGCATGGCTTTCCTGTCCGCAGCCTTTGGCGTGAAGTCACCGCTCACAATCGGCAAGAGAGCGTCAGCGGTTTTGAGATATTTCCGATTTCACCAAGAGTTCATCGGTGGCCTTGCAGTTCCGTTTGAAGAAGCTTATGTTTTCAGATATTTCAATGAGATGCAGTACGTGTTCGGCAAGTGCAGCGCTGCAAGTTTCTTGGAGGCCATGCGCTTCAGCCACTATGTTCTGGGCATAGATGGAGCGCTCGAAGTTACAAAGAGTCCAAGAGTTTCAGGCAAATCCAAGCAGCTTCTGGCTCAGAAGAGGCTTTTTTTGCAGCAGGCTCCGCACTTACTTGTGCAAGAGGTCCGTGAATTGCACCTTAGGCAAGTTCACACCACTGTATCGCCGCTTGGTCTGTTGATGGTGTGGGTCCCACCCAGCCTATCACGGATCAGACGCCAATTGAGGCTCTTCCTGACTGTGGGGATGTTGTGCTAGGATGTGCCTTGCGCCAAGCCCACCTTTCCTGCGATGACGTGCCTGACTTCTGCAAGGGCCACCCTCGGCTATAAGAGCTCTGGCAGCATATGCTCACTGTCGAATGCAAATGCACAATGGAGTATGCCAATTCTGAAGGCAATGTTTCTTTTCTGGAGATCAACACGCAGGTGCGCAAAACTGCCAGATCAGCGGAGCTGAAAGCCAAGCTTCTCCCAATCGTGGCCCCCAGTGTAGGGGTAGTCGAAGACAACTGGATAAAGATGTTTCTGGATGTTCGAGAAGCTGTGGGGTTGCCAAGGCTTGGCAACATAGATGGCCCACTTTTGCCAGCGTTTGATGATTCGTTTTTCATGCACACGTCAATTACGTCGGAAGAAGCTTCAGCTTGGCTGTGCCTACTATTGCACTGCGAGAGCGGTGGGAGGCATCCGAGTTCTCATTCTCTGAAGCGCACAGTCCTCACTTGGACAAGCAAGTGGGGCCTTGACGGAGAAACGCAGGAAATCTTGGGTCGTCACGTTTCAAAGCTGCGCGGGTTGCGCAGCGCTGCCCTTTTGTTTGAGAAGGTGTTTTGGGATGCGGGGTGGCTTGTTTGACCTTTTCAAAGAAATAAAACCCTTCCCTCTTTTATGCGAGCCCCGCAAGATCTAGCACGTGCCGACGTCCCTGCTGCGATCCTTGAGGGGCTGCGTTTAGGCCGCGTGGTCGCTTTTGCAGAAGCCGAACAGGCGCGTGCGTGGTCTTGTTATGGGCGATGTGCTGCGCCGGCTTGTTAGCCGCACTTGCGCAGCACTTTCAAGACGCTAGCTCCCCTTGTCCACCCGCGCCGGCACGGAGTGCCTAGCACGCATTTTGCGTGCGGCCACTGGGGCCGACCACGGGAGGCCACTGTGCTGTCCGTCGATGGGGTGGGCGCCTTCGACCACGTCTTGCGGGCGAGCATGTTCTCCCAGCTTGCGTCGCGCGAGCGCCTCGCTCCGCTGCTGCCGTACGTGCGGCAGTTTTATGGCGAGGCCTCACAATACTTGTGGTACGACGCGGCGCATGTCGTCGAGCAAGGCGAAGGAGGTGAGCAGGGCGACCCCCTGATGCCTTGTTTGCGCTCGCACAACACCCAGCCCTGCAGGCCACACAGGCCATGCTGATGCCAGGAGAGGTCCTTTTCGCCTTCTTGGATGACATTCTCGCGGCCCGGCCGTGCGCGTGCCATTTTCGACATTTTGCAGGCGCGTCTGCAAGCGCATGCCGGCATCCAGGTCAACTTGGGGAAGACTCGCGCTTGACCGGCGGCGTGCCGCCGCCGCGCATCGACGCCTTCGGGACCGCCGAAGACCCAGCTGGGTCCCAACCAGCAAGGGTTGGTTGTCCTCGACCCCCCTCTCGGCAGCCACGTTCACACAAGCATTCCTGGCTGAGAAGCACCCGGCATGGTCGCTTGTCAGCAACGTCAAGCGCCATTCCGGCAGCGCGTTGCCATCCACGGGTAATCGCCAAAGTCTCTACCCTGGCCGCGCGGGTCAAGGCGCAGCGGGGGGCTGAAAGCCATCAGCCCGCAGCGCCTCAGCGGCCTCGGCCGCCGCGGCACGCACGCTGGGCGCGTGCTGTCCGCCCGCGGCGAGCGAAACTGCCAAATTGCCGGCGGCGACCGGGCGCCGCTCTTGGATCATGGGCGGGGTGTCAGCCCAAAATGCCCAGTAGGCAGCAGACCCATCCCGCCCCTCGCCAAGGGCAGTTGGGCGCTGCAGGGCGTCGAGCTCGAGGGGCTCCTCAGCGCTCAGGAGCCGCCCCAGGCAGCGCAGCATCGCCGCATCATGCTCGCGGGCGAAGGCAAGGGTGTGGCAAGGGGGAAAGATGCGAAGGAGGTAGTTGGCACGGGGCGCGCCGCACAGCAGCAGTATCAGCCACGCCGTCTGCAGGTGCGGCACGGCCGGGATACGCTGCAGGAGTGCGTCTTGGGACGCGCGCTTCTTCACTGTCCTCCCCACTGCCCCCGAGTTCAACGTCCCGGGCCCTCATTTTCGTGTTGCGCAGGCGTGCCGCTTCCCTTCAGCGAGCGGCTGTGCTCCTGCTGGGGCGTGCTGGATGCCTTGGGGGACCACCGTGCGGCGCGCGCGCGCGCGCGCTGGCGTGTTAGGGCCCCGCAGTGTGCCCCGGGAGCGCACCGCTGCCAGGATCTGCCGCGAGGCTGGCGCCCGTGTGGCCCCTGCGCGACCTCAACCTCGATGCGCCGGTGCTGGACGACCGCCGCCTGGAGGTTGCAGGTCGCCGTGGACACCCTTGTCAGCCCTGTCCGAGCTGACGGCGCTCCGTGGCCGGGGCTGACCGTGAGCCCGGCCTCGCCAGATCCGACGCCGAAAGTGCCACCACACTTACCCTGAGCTCCTCCGGAGCCGGTCCCGAGGTCGGTGGCAGGTGCTCAAGTGGGCAGGCGGCTCGGCGCCGGCCCATTCTCCCACCTGGCGTCGGCGAGCAGATCGCTCACCGGCGGCTTTGCGCCATCGACGCACGTCTCCCCGAACAGCGGGAGCTGCAGCAGGCTGGCGCTGCGCGGCGACTGCGAGGAGGGCAGTCCACCGCCGCACGTACGCCTGCACAGCAGCTCCGCGCAGCAGTTCGGGAACACAGCGCGACTTGGCGCGCACAAAGGCCACCCCCTGGGACTTTCGGGGTCTGCGTAAGCCCCGGGAAGTTTGGGGCAGACTACATTTCCCCACTCATACTCAAGGTTTTACCCACCTTTTGAAGGAAACGATGTGGAAGGGATGCTCACTAAGGACCTGGAAATTCAAGGCGAACCCTTGAGCAAAGCTTCACACCTCGTAGCTGCCTCGATTCTGCTGTCAGAAAAAAAAGCGAGTCCAGCGCGAAGTCGCAGAAAGTCCACGCCGGCGATCATCCGCAGCGACGCCAGTCGCCGCTGTGTGCGCACGAGCCTCCGGGCTCAGGGCCTCGCGCGCGACGCGAGCCCAAGCCTGCTCGATGAAGCGGCGCGGCGGGCAAGAAGACCGCTGCGAGGACGCGCAGCAGTATGGTCGCCGAGGACATCGAGCCCCACAGCCGGGCATCCCGGCACCACCACGCAACCAATGTGCCAACGCCGGCGCAATGCGACAGGGCCGGCGGAAGGGCGGATGGCGGTGAGCCAAGCCCCAGCTTGAGGCCCTGACTTCGCGCCCGGTCGGACGGCGACAGGGCAGGCAGCAACCCGCGCCCGCGATAGTGAAGCTTTACAGCTGTGATCGGAGTTCATTCAGCCCCGAAGAGCATACCGCACGAATTTGTGGACACTTTGTGGGGTCCAGTTGATGGTGAGACACAAAGCTCCGTCGCGAGCGCGCGATACATGGTTTCGTACTTCCTGTTCTACAAGCGACTGACAGGATTCTGCGATCGGGGCAAAATTATGGCGTCGCCAACTGTGGTGGCCATCCCGGGGAACAAGCACGGAATTTGGTCTGATGTTTCGCGAGAAGAGCTCCCATCTGAGGTTCGGTGCGCCCGCGGCCGACGCGAGCTGCCAGCAAAAAAGGAATTAGCGCTTTGCAGCGCGACAAACGCCTGCGCAGGTAAAAGGCTAGCGAGGCAGGCAGCTGGCGGCCCAGCTGCTTCAGACGGCGCCACGTTGGCTTGGAACCCGTTCAAGGGTTCCACTTCGAATGGAACCCTAAACCCTAAAAGCCTTTACTTTGGGTGGCTGGGGCGGGCGAACTTGCCTACGCAAAGCGAGCGGCTTGGGGGATTTTATCACATTTTGTCTCAGCAACGCTGCGATTTCTAAAGTTTGCGGCGAAGGCAGGCAGGATTTGGACGCAGAGGCCGCATTCGGACGATATCACCTCGTTTTTGCGCTAATTCAAAAGCGCTCGCCTGCGCCCTCTCGGAGTGGCAGGTCGTTTCGTTTGCGCTTCCCGCGGCACTATGCGGAGCCTGTTGATGCCCATGCGGCCGGTCTAACGCGCTGGGTAGTGTCACTCGCTTGGAGATTGTTGGTTTGCGCGTTCTGCTCCTTGCAAGTGTCCACGAACAGACTGGCTTTGCACGGTTGAATCAGAGAAGCCTCGCCGCGGAACGGCCTGGTTCCGAGGGCTGATGGGCTTCTGGGGTTGTAGAGCGCGTTTCACTTAGGCCTAGTCCACGGCGTTTCACGTTCGAGCAGGCTGTCCGAAAAAAAAATCAGCTTTTTTTTTTCAACGTCGCCACCACATGGAATGCTTGGTTGATTTCGCATTGCGGATTCTGACATTTGGGTTAGTTTTTGTTTGTCAGCACCAGCGGATGTGTGCATTATGGTCCTGTTCTTCTTTCAATTCCGAGAGTAGTCCAGGGCTTGCTTGCAGCAATTGTGTGACAATCGACAATGCTAGAAACAACCAACATGGTCATTAATTAACCAGCCATTACTATGTAATTAGTACAGTACATGTTTCAATCCGGCAGAGACATGTTCGCCAGATGTCGCAGCCATGGGTGTTTTTGAAGCACAAGCACTTCCAGATGGATTGACACTAGATACTCGTTTGCAAAACAGGGAGCTGCCATCACTTGTGCTTCAAATAGTTTCGGCTCTCGCTGCAGCAACCAGAGTCGTTGCCAGGAAGCCTTCTTGCTGGAATGTAACAAGTCCTGGGGTCCGCAAGAGCTGCGTTCGGTACGGCGAAAGTTGGGCTGCATCGGAGTCTCGCAGGTCGCGGATTTGCTGCGACCTTTGGTCAGCAACAAGCAGGGGGGTCTTTTTAAAAGGCCACCTTTGGTGGAAAAATGATCGACCCCCTTGTAGTGAAGCATTGCTTGTTGAGGGAAATGGTCGCTCATTTTCTCACTGAGCGGCCGGAGCGGCTGCAAGGTAGCCTGAGTTGGCAGGCTCCAAAACCACATGCGCACACAAAATCACACATCCACGCATCCACACATCCACTTTGGTGCGTTTTGCCAAGGGATGTTAGGACTTTTAATTTTTCACCATTAACTTCTAGCGGGAGAGCAGAAAGAAACCGAGTCCAGACCACTTTCACAAGCCTTTGCAGGGGGTGGGCTGCGATTTTTCTTCGAGCCGAGGCTACGAACGCTCGGGCGTGCTGAACGACCTCCTGGCCGCCGCCGGTGAGCGGCGTTTCTCTGCGGAGACGCTGGCCCAGTTTCGCGCAGCTGGCGAAGGCAGGGGAGCTGGAGGAGCGTTGACTGCTAGTCAGGGAATGACCCAAGGTGTGGGGAACTAACAATTTCGGGATTCCCTCAAAGGAACCCAGAAGGGATTGTTCATAGCTTGACTGCTATTGGGTTGGATCTTTAGACTTTAACTTTTTGGTTGAAATCAAGTTGGGGTTTCCGAACTAAACCCGCACTTTTCGCAGAGGGGTCGTTGCAGCAACCAAGCATTCGATGGGCTGAAGGAGTTGTAGTTACCTCTTGGTTCTGGATGACGGGCTTTGTTTGTTTCCTTTCTGTGTTTGGCTGGCTTTTCGCTGCTTGCCGCTTTGAGCCGATCGAATGCCATTGACCCAAAACGAACCTTAACCTTTCATCTACACCCACCCTAAACCAATCCCTGCTGCCCTGTCAGTTTTTCCAGTTTGAGAGGCATGTACATCAGCCTCCCTTGTGCATTTGCCTCCACACCGCAATTGGCTCAATACAGGAGCTCCTTTTTGCCATAGGCCTCATTTTGAGGGATTCGCTACATGTCGTTGTGAGGAACCGCTTGCCAGTGACACTGGTAGCGGAGCTTTTGCTCCTGGGACTTTGGAGGAGGAACTTCACGGTGAAGGTCTTGAAGGGTGGCACTCACGGACATCCAGACGGGCCTTCGACTCCGTGGGGATGGGTGAGACGCGCGATGTGGCGCGTGTCCAGTGGGACGGAGATCCTGCCGGATGGCAAGATTACGTCAGGAAGGTGCGCCTAGCCTGGGAACGCACACGGAAGCGAAATCGGCGACACCTCGGACCTGAATTGGCTGCCCAGTTCAGTGGGAGAGCATGGATGATCACCCAGGAGTTGGACCACTCCAAGCTGACGCAGCCCAACGGCGCCCGGTACTTGTTGGAGTACTTGGAGACTCACCTTGCCAAGGTTCCTGTACCAGACGCCGGATGGAGAGCCGAGGAGTTGCTGGTGCGCCTCAGGCGTCCCCACGGCATGAGCATGGCGACATGGTGCTCCTCGGTCAGGGAAGCACATCGCCAGCTTCAAAGGGCACTCAAGCGTGCTCGAGATGCAGGTCAACCTACAACGAGCGAGAGCTTGCCCAGTTCCTCGCCCACGGCTGGTCGAGCGGCTCGCGGAGCAGGTGGACTTTTGGAACGAGCACAAGAAGATCTTGAAGAAGATGATGATGAAGAACAGGAAGAGGATGAAGCAGAGGATGATCTCGACGACTTTGGAGAGGCATCTCCTCTGCAGTCGAGTCTGTCGTCACGAAAGCCAAGGGAAAGGGGCAGAAAGCCCGGAGATCGAGATCATTTTTTTTCGAGGAGGTCACTCCCGACATGACGTGGACCGACCTGGACACAGCACTGCCTCCAGCTCTTCCAGATGAACTCTTGGGCTGGTTGATGCTGAGGAGGTCCTCACTCAGCGCAGCTCAGCGACTCAACGTCCTGGCCTCCATCCAGAACAGCCTCAAGACAGCAGACGTAGAGAGAGGTCTTCGAGCGGTGGAAGATGAGCTACGCTACATGGATCGGGATGGAGGAAATTCCAAAGGCAAAGGACGTGGTCGATCCTTCTGGGTGGAACAAGAAGGAAGCTGGGGCATCTTGCTGGCAGAGGAAGATCAGATGGACGAGTTCGTGAACATGGAGGAGGTCCATTGGGTTGAGAAGCAGATGGACTCCCCCAAGGAGGTCTTCCACGCTATGCCCCAGATGGAGCGGTCGACCTATTGGAACAAGGAAGAAGACGGTTCCTACACGTTCTGGACCCAGGACGAGCAGGACGGCGAGTACTACTACCCGGACGGAGGAGGAGCCTTCTGGGCCTGGAGCGATTGGCAGGACGAATCTGCCTGGTGGTCAGCTTCACCTGAGCAGCAGAAGGAACTCAGCGAGGCTTACGCGGCCCTGGACCACAAGATTTGCACCTTTCAGGAGTCTCGACAATTGATGTCAGAAAAGGGTGCGAGTCGCGGCTTCTACCCGAAGGGCAAAGGAAAGGGCAAGGGCAAAGGGAAGAAGAAAGGTCAGCCGGTCATGATGGCTCACCAGACAACCCCGAACATGCCGGCCCTTCCCACCGTCCTCGCGGTCCAACCGGGTACCCCTGGCTACACTGGATGCTTCATCTGCGGAAACCACAACCACGACTACCGCAACTGCCCTCGCCGTGGAAAAGGGAAAGGTGGAAAATCAACCGGGAAGTCCTACATGGTGGACACCGTGCATCCGGTGTTCATGGTGAAGGAGGAGTTGGACTCCCGACAGCGAGATCACTCGGTCAGTGAAGTTTGAGGACTCAGAGTCCACCTACACCCGGACGTACGAGAACGCGGAGTCCACCTATTCCATAAAGTCTGAGGCGGTCAAAGAGGAGTCCGAGGGCAAGGACGCAGCTGAAGCAGAGGACGAGCCCTAAACGTCAGTCCGCGGCCCTGCCTACCTGATGAACTTCTATGACTTCGAGAACGGTTCCGACCATCAGGTCACCCTGGCAGCCGTGGATATGGAGTCCTAGACACCGGAGCCACTGAGACGGCGGTGGAGAAGGTGATGACCATGCATGGGCACATGGAGCAAATCAAGGTGGTGGAGCATGCCAAGGCCAAGGAGTTCCGCTTCGGCAACGGCTTGACGCAAGTCAGCGAGAGCTACGTGCTCATTCCCCAGGTTTTGGGGAGTCACCATTTCTCCCTTGGTGTGTTCACTCTGGATGCACCCCGCGTACCTGTGCTTATCGGGGTACGCACCTTCAATCGCTTGAAAGTGATCTTGGATCTCCAGAAGAGCCTGATCATCATGTGTGCGGTGGATGCCATGATGGCGGTTCCGCTGATTCGCTCAACTTCAGGACACTTGCTCCTGGACCTGCGGGATGACTGGATGAAGTACTGCTACTTCCTGAATCGACCTTTGTCTCCGGTGAGTTCTCCGGGGGCTTCAGCTTCATCCGAGGAGGTCATGCCGCACGGTGGCTACATAGAACGTTTTCTTTCTCACGGGCCCGTCACGACCGGCACCGGCGCAGAGCGATCGAGCATATCTGGTGCCAGCCAGTCAAGCCTTGGTTTACATGGTCAAGGAAGTAGGGAAGAAGCCTCCAGAGATTCGGTTTCAGCATGCAGGTTCCGTCAGGGCCCCATCCGGACATCGAGGCCCCTCGACTTGATCCATGGCATGATCATGTGGATCAGGCGACTACCCGAACTCCTTTCATTTTGGCTCAGCAATTTGATGAAGAGATGCACTGGCATCTCCTGGCCCTCTTAGCCACTCTTCCCCTAGGCGCTCTGTACCGACCCCATGGCCTCGGAAGCACAAGTTCCGGCGGAGCCGAAACCGAAGGCGACTGCGGCCAAGTCCAAGAGCAAGGCAAAGGCCGCGCTCAAGGGGGAGATCAAATTCGACGAGAGCCGGTCCTGCGGACCAGACCCTCGAGACCCCCGAATCTGGGACCACCATGCAACGGAGAACATCTACCAGCACGGTCCTACCGCGGGAGCGTGACGGGATCCAACGGTCATGCCAGGTGGGTGGGATGCGAGCGATGCAAGATGAGGCTCCTCTATGTGCCCACCTTCGGCAGCACCGGGTCTTTTCGCCAAGCAGGAGCTCTCCCGGGAGACATCAAGGAGCAGGTGGCCGAGCTGAAGGAGAAGGCGTCCTTCAATCCAGCGCTTCGGGACCGGACCATCGCCCTCGACGGAGCGGAGAAGCCTCCTGGACAGGCTCGCGCGCATCCGGGCTCAGAAAGAGAAGATCAAGAAGAACGAGACGCTGGACGGGGAGGAGGACCTTCAGACCAACGGCCACACGGAGAAGGTGAACGTCGCCCAGGGTGCCAGCACCGAAGATCTGGCGCTGACTCCCGGCAGGAAGATGGTGAGGAAAGCGGAAACGACTCCGGAGCAAAAGGAGTACGAAGAGAGCGACAAGACTACATCCTGACCGACGAGTACTTCCAAGCGGAGCACCGGAGCAAGTTCACTGATGCGGAGGTGAACCACGTCAAGGAGATCGCTTCCGACTACTACCACAGCCTTGCGGAGAACTTCGCGGCCTGCGGAGTGTCCGGTTCCCGCTGGGACATCCTTGAACTCTGCTGTGAGAAGGACAGCCTCCTGATTCGCTGTCTTGAACAACAAGGAGGAACCGGAGGACGTGCAGGCTTGTTCAACGAGTGCGACATCATGAAGCCAGCGGGACTACATCGGGTAAAGGAGTTAGTTTCATTCCCTTGTGGTGCGAGCTCGCCCATCCAGCACTTGAACGAGCTCACCGAGGAAGGCTGGCTCAAGAGCCTAAAGAGAAAGGCCAGATCCAAGGCGCTTGTGAAAAGGGGATTAGAAGTGGTCAGACTTCATTTGCGCCAAGGAGGAGAGCTTGCCTGGGAATGGCCACGCTACAACTACGGTTGGAAGTGGCCGGTGGTGGAGAAGTTCTGGGCAGAGCTACGACAACTCGGCCGCTGCTATGACATCATGGTTGATGGTTGTCAGTACGGAGTCCACTCCAAGGGCATTCCTGTGAAGAAGCCTTGGGGGATCCGTGTCACCAACGACGACGCCTTCAACCAGGTCAGCCGAACTTGCGACGGCCAACATCAACATGCACCCTGCCTAGGTGGCGGACTCCCTACCAGCACTAGAAGATACACACCGGAGATGTGTCGGGCTTGTGTGACAGCCATGATGTATCAGGAAGAACCGATCATGGCAATCGAGGAGGTGGATAGAAGTTCCCTCCTCACGCTCACCGATCAAGAAATCATGAAGATCGCCGAGCATGTGCTCCTGCTCCACAGAAGGAGTGGTCGCCCGAACAACCGCGCCTTGGTGCGAGCTCTACAAGCTCGAGGAGCAGATGAGAAGGTGATCACCATCGCCAAGCAGATCAGATGCCAAGAGTGTTTGGAAGGTGAGATGAAGAAGCCAAGCCCCAAGGTCAACCTCGAGAAGGAGGAGATTCTCTGGAACACGGTGCAGACGGACAAGTTCTACATGCGGGTCGGCAAGACGGTGCACCACTTCTTGCTCTTCCTAGACGAAGCATCCGGCTTCGGAGTTGTGGAAGAGATCCTGCAGCACCCAGATGACCAGAGCGAGAACGTTGCCACCACTGAGGTGATCGAGGCTTTCCAGCGGTGTTGGGTTCAGATCTTCGGCATCCCAGAGAAGATCAAGTGCGACCCAAGGCTGCTATCGGGGTCGACTCTGGGAAGACTTCTGCGCCGACCGCGGGATCGAGCTGATCCACGTTCCAGCTGAACATCATGAGGCAACTGGAGATGTAGAAAGAGCAGTTGGGGATCTTCGGAGGAAGATGGAACTTAGCACTGTGATGTGGAGCAGACTGTTGGGCTCGCCATTGAACTGCTCCAAGTAGAGCCTTGCACTGCGACAGCTCACCCGGAGTGAGCCCCTCCTTGGTCTCATCGATCTCCACTTGCTTCAACTCAGTGCAGTACTCTGAGTGGTCGATGCGGAACCCAAAGTCCGGCGTCTGCATGAGGTTCACTCCACAATGTGCATAAGGCATCTCCTCCCATGGGCTCCACGAGAAGGCCTTCGTAAAGGTCACAATCACAGCTTTCCATTGCGGGTGGTCGGTGTCTCCCATGATGAGGAAGTCGTCCACGTGGGATCCTATGGCCCCCACTGTCGCTCCATCCACCCGCAGTACCCAAATACAGGGCTCGCACTTCAGGCGCTCCATGTGGCAGTCCTGCTCCAGAACCGCCGCAACGTCCAAGAACCACTCACGTGGCGCCGACGCTAAGCCGTAGGCAGCCTTCAACAAGCGAACTGCTTGTCCACGGGGAATCTGAAGAGCTTCCGAGAGCTCTCCACTCTCCAACGGGCACTGCGAAGATGTCCCGCTTCGTCTGAGATTGGCTCCCCTGCAAGAAGGCGGACTTGGCATCTGCCTTCACACACTTCCACTTCTTGAAGGCCGCGAGGTTCAGCAACATCAGTTGCCGTCCACGACGTGAAAGCGTCGGGGCACTCGTGAGGAGATCCCCGAGGTCGGGGTCGCTGTACCCCAAGAGCACGATCCGTGCTTTGGCCTTGACTTCCTTCGCCTTCTCTCCGGCCTTGAAGACCAGGACCCAACGCATGCGCATCAAGCGCCCCTCAGGCACTTTCCCTCGGAGCTTCTCGCATACCTTCCGGCTCACCCATTGGTTCACCTCGAGCTGCTTCGCCTCGGACATAGGTCGTCTCTGCTCCTCATTGAGCTTTGCCCACGAGATTTCGGCTCCTTTCTGCACGCTCTTTGCAGTGAACTTGCTGGGGTCCTTCAAGATCTTCCGCCATTCCATTTCATTGTCAGGCGCCGCGATCGTCACCCCAAAGATGCAACTTGCACTGTCCTCCTCCGACACCCACAAGGCACCTCCTGTAGCGCTGGATGAGGATCCACCTAGCCCTGCATGAAGAGGACGTTCTCCCTGCTCATGTGCAGCTCTCTGTTTCTTGAACTCGTCGAGGAGCCGATCGATGTCCAACTCCGACTCCTCTTTCTCCTCAAGCGGTCGTTTCTTGCTGCCGGGATCGGCGCATCCGAGTCTTTTGCCGATGGCCGGAATGGGGTCTCTGCACTCAGTGACCGAGCCCGGTCTGCCTTTTTCTGACTTGGGTCGCTTGGTGAGGTCGTCATACTGCCCCTTGCTCAGCAACGCCGAAAGTGAAGAAAAGGTCCAGGGCAGCGTCGCCGTGTTGGTGGCCTCTGCGATCAGTGATCAGCCTTTGGGCGATGATCCAGACGGCCGAGCTCGGCCTCCGAATTCCTCCATCGTCCTGCACCTCGTCTCCGATGCCAGGACGCGTGCGGGGCCAAACCACCTGCTCACCCTCAACCTCGTCGTGTCGACTTCCTGGTGAGCGGGATTATCTCTGGGCGTCTTGTACCGGCGGTAGTAGACCAAACCCGGGCAGGAACTGCTTCACCTCGCCTGCACGGGCGCTGCCTGTCTTGCTGCTGCTTGAAGAAGGTCTCCGCTTCTCTCCGGAGACGTAGCTGCTGCTCCAGCGGATGCCCCGGGAGGTGCTCGTTCACCATAATGGGCAGTCGATCTTCTTGTTTTGGAAATCTGCCGAAGGCCCACTGCACCGGCGCAAAGCCACCCACTCTCATCTCGTGGTTGTGAGCACTCTGCGTCGCGTAGGCCGCTTCCCGCAAAGTGCAGTTCTTGGCCTTCCGCATGAAGAGCTGTCCTGGCTTCAGAGCGCTGTGAAACATGGAGGCAAGGACATCATCAGGAAGTCCATCTTGCAAGGCATTCGCGGCCCCGTCAACTTGGTGGCTTGGAAGAGTGGAAAGCTGCGCCGAGTGGCTCGGAGCAGTTTGTCGGCGGAGATCCAGGCCCTTTCGGAAGGAGAGCAAGAGTTGATGTTCTGCCGTGGCCTTTGGTCAGAGCTTCTCGAAAATCGCATGGACCTCAGGGAGCCCGAGAACACGACGAGCCAGATCACGGCCGCGATGATCATCGATGCCAAATCCGTGTACGATGCCTTCTGGAAGGGGGACACTGCCTCGAGTGGCTACAGCATGAAGGAGAAGTACGCGGCGCTTGAGCTCATGGCAGTCTCCGAGAGTATGAGGCGCCAGAACACGACGCCTCTGTGGGTGAGCTCAGAAGCTCAGTTGGCAGATGGGATGACAAAGTCCCAAGCACAGGATCAGATGCGGCAGTTCCTGGAGAAGGGCCAGATCTGGAACGTCCGCTACGATCCGCAGTTCCTGGCGGCGAAGAAGAAGAAAGTGCAGCCGGGCATGTTCGACGAAGACTTCGTGCCCGAGGAAGACGCTAGCTGGCGAGACCTTCTGAGCCGCGAGCAAATTGCGGGTTTTGGCAAGCCTTCTTTGGGCATGTCAGTTTTTCCAGTTTGAGAGGCATGTACATCAGCCTCCCTTGTGCATTTGCCTCCACACCGCAATTGGCTCAATACAGGAGCTCCTTTTGCCATAGGCCTCATTTTGAGGCATTCGCTACATGTCGTTGTGAGGAACCGCTACATTGCGGTTCGACCTGGAGACGCTCAGACAACTGAGCGGTGAATCGGAGGTGGAAAAGGATTGGCAGCTTGCCAGTGACATGCCCCCGGGGGCAATCCAGACCATACAAAAAATAATAGTCAACTTTACACCTCTCCCCACAAGCTCACAGACAAACCCAACACCAGACCTCCAACCCAGCAAGCTAACGCCAACCAGCCGCCAATGGAGCTAACACAAGTTCAGCTGGTCGTTCGTGGCTCAAGAGGGCTTTCCTTGCGTGAGGCCGCTCCAGCAAATGTACGCAGGAAGGCCGGCTGGCGGAAGTTCTCGTTCATGAGGATATGTGGTGTTAAAGGGAAACCAAAAGGAAAGCATGTTCGGGTTCCCCTATTTTAAGACAGTCCACAAAGCTTTCCTTGACGTGTGTGACTTTAAGTTGGTGGAATGCATCGGCTTGCAGTGTCGCCGTTCTGCGCCGTCCTCGTGGCATCGCCAATTCCAGCACGACTCTGATCGAAGCAGTTGAAGATCTTGTTGGAGAAATGCCCCAAACATTTCAGGTGAGCCACAATTAAAACCCGGGTAGATGAAGGTTAGTAAGGGGCAGTCCCAGCCAGAAATAGTTTCGGCCGGCTTCTTCATTTTTGACATGGTTCTGGGTAGACTATTTTAATACCGGGTTTTGATTATGACCCAGGTGACGAAGCTGAAGATGCTGATGACCTAGAAGAGCTGCTGAATGACTTCTTAGCCAGGCCGTCGCCAGTGCACATCTGTTCGATGGTGGCTCAGTTTGGTTCGATTGCTTTTTGGTCCTCGCGATGTTCAATGCTGTGGTGGATTTCCGAAATTTACCACCTGGGATGGACGAAGCCAAGCAAAATAATGGTAGTGGTTGATAAACCACCAGAATCCCAACTGGCACCAAATGGATCTTGTCCGTCCACGGATCTCCTCCGATTTGCTTCCCGGCCTCGCGCCTCGCGACGTCGCCGCGCGCCTCGCGCCTCGCGCCTCGCGGTTTGCCGCCAGGGCGGGAGGCCAATCCTGGTCGCAGGCTGGTGGCGAGGAAGCAGCCCTGCGCAAGCGGCTTGGCGAAACGGCGCAGTTCCCTGAGGCTTTTGCCTCAGGATGGTCTGTCGATGGCTCCTGCTTGATGCGTTTTCATCCAAGGCATTCTTCTTTAAAAAAAAAACACCGGAGCAAGCAAAGCAGACAAGGCGAGCTGGAAAAAACAGCTGCAAACAAGGAAAGAGAGAACACCCCCCCCAACCCCCAAAACTCCTGGGGTCGCAAGTGCGGTCGTCAGCCAAGAGGAACGAAGCAAGCGCTGCGCTTCCTTGGGAGCGCTGTCGCTAGGACTGTGAGCCGGGGCCTGGCGTACATCGATGATGCTGCCCGGGAGGCACGTGGTAGAACCTTCCCCAGAATTAGCTCCCCCTTTTCTCTCCTCTTTTTTTTCTCTTGCATTCTTGGGGCCACTTTTTCCCACTCACCAGACAACAAGTAGGTTTTTGCTGGGGCCAAGGAACCTGATGTTCCTTCAGGGCCTTTTCTTTGGCGAATGCCGCGCCAAGGTGCATCTAGGTTGTTGGAATCTGCTGTCAGACCATTTAACCCGCCAAAAGTTAGTCGCTTTTAGCGGGGGATCCGAAAACGGGCAGCCCAGTTTACTCGCGTTCCTCCCACGTCGAGTTGCCTCCAAGCGCCGGGAGGTGCACCGCCGCAACGCCTCGCTCTCCCGGTGCCTCGAGGAGGTCCAGTCGGACCTCTCCCGCATCTCCGAGCGCATGCAGGCAGAAGATGTGGTCGGGTGCCGCTCAGGTCGCTTGAGGGAGGCGTTTTGAGAAGTCATCTCGGTTCCGGGGTCGAGCACACAAATGCGCGCGTTTCTTGTTTTTTACCAAAGCCGGGGAAGGTGTGGGCAGCATGTGGGGCCATCTAGCCTCCAATAAACCTGGAGCCGTTCGACGTTCGGGGGTCCTAAACCAGGACCATTTTCCTTCTACAAAATCGTCCCGAACGTCAGGTTCCATATTGGTGGGAGGCTACGAGGCCGTGGCGACTGCTTGCCGCAGGCCGCACGCCGTGAGCGGCAGCGCGGCCGCGCCGCCACGGCCAACGCGGCCTCGCGGATCCTGGGCGCCGGGGCGGCGCCCGCGGCGTCCGCGCGGCTCGGCGAGGTAGGCAGTGAACCGGTGCGGCGGGCCAGGGGCACGCTGAGTCTGGTCAAGAGAGAGGGACATGCGTGGTGCAGAAGGACACATTGGTACTGGTACGCGGCAATGGCCGCTATATTATACACATCCATTTCTTGTAGCTCGAGCTTGGTTTGCTGGATGTCCTTTTCAACAGTGGCAACTTATCGCTGGGTCCCGATGAACTTTCACTTTGGAAGTCGAAAGGAAATGGAGGGACGCCTGTTGGTTGCCCCTTTTCAGCTTCAATCCTTGCCACCCAGGCCGTCGGACAGAGCCAGGACTGGGGGGGCCTTCATACATGGCCTTGGCTCTGTGATGGACCATCAAAAGCCTCAAACCACAATTTTTGAGGTCCTTTTTTTAAATCAATGTTCAAGGTCCACGATGATTTTTACCCACAGCCTGCCAGGGATGGGGGGGGGGGTGTCCGGGGCCAGCTGCGCGTTATGAGGAGATGGGACGAAGCACCCCGAAAGCCCGCAGCCAGAGCGCCCCAACCCCCACGGCGACCGCAAGGATCGCAAGGCTTTGGGGCGGACGGGCACACGACTGGAGTGGACCAGGGTGACGCCGATAGTCCTTGCAGTTTCTCTTGCATGCTGGCCGCGGCCCATTTGGTTGTGTATGGCGTTCGAAGTCCGGATATGATTTCGATCCACGGCGAAGGCAGGTTCGAGAATTCACGGGCTCAGGTTCGCATAGCCCGGCTGGCTTGAAAGTAGGCCGCGGGGCCAATTTTGTTAGAGATGCCGTTTTTGTGCTTTTTTTTTTCAGTTGAAGGGCCGAAGGGCCAGCAGAAAAGTTCGGGGTCACTGTGGATGGACGAAATCCATTTCGCACCACCTAAGAAACCCTGAAATGATTTGATTCCCCTGCAAATACCGATGAACAATGATTTTGTCCACCCGCAGTAGGGCATGTTTGCAGGCACTACACCTTGCGCCAGAGCCGCGCAAGAGGGGTTCTCCTTCGGAGGCGGCTGCGCAGCTCGGTGGGCGAGCCTTGCATCCGGGCGATTTCCTCCGAAGTTGGTTCTGACTGGGAGCGGGCGTGGTGGAGCTTGAGGTTGAGCCGTGCTTCTTCTTTCAGAAAGCGGGGGTCAAACGGTGGAAATGCCCTAGGGCCAGCGAAGTTTGGGGCATGTCTTTGTTTTTGCTTTTTTGGTTTCGCTCTTGCAAATGCGGAGGCTGCCCTGTTTCCGGCTGCCGAAGGGTGCTGTTGCGAACGAAGCTGCCAATGCGTAGGGCTTATGGAAAGAGGAAGTTGTCCAGCGAGGCACTCTTGAGCCTCGCTCGATGAAAGGTCCCAGCCACTTCTAAAATATTGGGCTCCCCATGGCGCCCGAAATGGCCATGAGCTTGCCTCTCCAAAACGCTTCTGGGAGACCAATGCTTCGCGGTGTGGTTTATCCTTTGATCAATTGGGCAACCCTCCTTTTTTTTTGGGGGGGGGGTGTTTGGAAACCCCTACAAAATCATTGGGCAACCCTCCTTTTTTTTGTTTGGGGGGGGGGGTTGTTTGGAAACCCCTACAAAAAGTGGGCAACCCTCCTTTGTTTTCCTCTTCCCCCCCCCTCATTTTTTTGGTTTTGTTGGGAAACCTCTGCAGAAATTGGTTCCCGCTGCTTCCCCTTTCAAGCCGCCAAAACAAAGGGGTCCCCGAGGAAAAAACAACAACGCCACCCCCAACGGCAGGCTGGGGCAAGCCGCAGCTGGCGAATCCCCGGGAGACCTTGCAGGAGCGAGAGTGCTGCGTTGGCCATCTTAGCCTTGGTGAATTTTGCTTGGATGTTAGGACTTTAACTTTTTGCCAAATGGTTTCCGAATTAAACCACTAAAAGTTATTCACTTTAGCAGGGGAGCAGATTTGGCAACCGAGTTAGGTGATGGATTGCTCCACTGGAAGCGAGCAGAGGGCCATTTGGCTGTGGGTCAAAACCAATGGGATCCCATTTTGGGGTGCACCTACCCCCCTTTTTCGTCTAGTTTTTGGGGGTTGGGATGTTCACTGGAGGTACGGGATTTTGACCCATGGCCAAATTTATTTTGAAAAAGGGCCCTTTGAGGAGGCATAGTTCCAAAGGAAAGCACTCCAAACACGGAGCCAGGCACATGCTTCGATGTGCGTTTGTAAGTGCCAGGACACGGTGCGCGCTGAAATCGCTCACTTGAAGCATGAGAAGCATGCAGATCAGAAGGCAGCCATTAAGCGGCTGCTGGTGAAATGGCATCCAGACCGCAATCCCGCCGCTTGGGCTGCAAATCGCATGGGGGTCCGCAGTTGGCGCGGGACCTTGCGGAGTCGTGCAAGCCGCAGTGATGCATTCGCCTTCGAAAGTTGGGTCAATACCAAAGCTTGCCTATGAATCAAGTTTCCAAGGTTTTTGTTTAATTCCCCTCGAAGCTGGCTTTTTCCTTAAAAGTTTAGTCACCAGCTGTCAGTCTGGACATGGATTCCATTCGCGATTGAAAGCCAAGAGCCCTTTTCGGGTCAGCTTGTGATGCCAGCTTTGTGTCATGGGTGTGGCATTATTCGCGAGCTTGTTGGCGACAGCCTTGTGCATCTCTACATGGGAGTGGCTCAAAATTAAAGAGCCAGGGTTATACAGGTTTTAGTTGGTTCCATTTACCAAGGCACCATTTTGGTACATGTTTTTAAGCCACAGCCACATGCTGGCATGTGCGTGCAAAGGCAGTTACTGAGGAAAGTCCCGAGACGGCCACCGCGATCTTTCAATTCATCCAGCAGGAGAGACGTGGGCGAGCCAGATCTTTTTCGTTACGTAGTCCCTGAGTGATCCGTTTGTGGGAGTTTGCAGTTGAGCCACAATCAAAACCCGGGTAGATGAAGGTTAGTAAGGGACAATCCCAACCATAAATAGCTGCGGCCGCCTTCTTAATTCTTTACATGGTTCTGGGTCGACCATTTTTTGGTACCGGGTTTTGATCATGACTCAGTTGCGGCACATTCGTTTCTGACAGGAGAAAGACCGACTGCTCGGACTTCGGTGACCGGCGGGCAGCCTTTTTAAAGCGGCCATTCGGCCGGAAGACAGCCTCTCGTTCGTCACGACTCGCGGCAGGTTTCCCTTTGCGGCTCATGGGATGCTCGCCGTGCGCGTGAAATCGTGGCCAATCTTTTTCACCCCTGGGACTTGGAATCCCGGACGCAGGTTTAGGTCTGTACTCTGAGCTTGAATTCGCCCAGCGCCCTGGCGGCCTGCTCTGTTCCGCAAAGCGGAAGGTAGGCCAATAGTTTCAGCTGTGCGCCTCCAAAACAGACTGCACCTCGGCCGCTTTCGGGTCGGCTTCGCTCGGACGCGTTGCTGATGTGGATAAGCACGGACCGCAGGCAAGCGGAAGGTTTGTGTGGTCAGCGCTCGGGGTTTGACATGCACTGCCGCTCAGCCGCAGGAGCTCGAAAGGGCCCGCAAAGAGCAAGCCAACAGCACTCCAATGAGCCTCGGCCAACGCCTGCATTGCGCGAACGCGCGGGAAATCACACAGAAAACAATAGCGAGCAGGCAGCACACGAGCTAAAGGGTAAGATTCCCAGAAAGTTGCTTAGGGCTCCTTGAAAGATACATTTTGCCCATGTGAAACATGGCTATTTCCACCAAAATAGAGGGACCCCACCATTTACAAGGCAATGTTCAAGTGTATAATGTAAGGATCCCTGTTGCGGAACTCCTTTTGCAAGAGATCGGCCTTTGTTTTTTGTTTCATGAGAGCAGGCGGGAGTGCGTGTCATTTTTTCTCCTCCGAGGGTGCCAAGTTTCGCGACATTTGTCAAACATCTCCGAATTGGTGGTTTGGATTGGTGGTGTAGGGATTTGACCCCCTGGTTCTTGTAGAGGGTACATAGGCAACTGTCCTTGTCCACCAAACCACTAATTAATCGAAACCATCAAACAACGAGGGAAGCAGAGTTTGGTGTGTGTGCGGCCAGGTGCTCCGGACCCCTTCGCGCTGCAAGAGACGATCCTCAAAGAGGCGCCGCGCGGGGGGGAGGGGGGGAGGGGGAGGGGGCGGCTTGAGCGCTCGTTTCGGAGGTCATGTTGCCAGGGTTCCGTTTTGGGTACTCATTTTTGACCCACAGCCAAGTCTTGAACGGAGGGTGACGAATTTGGGCAGATTCTTTCAACGCTTCTTGGCTCTCCAGGAGAAGTTGTTCGATGAACACCTGGCGAAGATTGGAGCCGGCGAAGACGCTGCGGCAGCATTTTGCCCCTGACCGCTCCCAAACCTTACTTCCAAGTGGTTCTTGTCCTGGAACCGCAGGTTCTTGTCACTTGTTCAACGCCGACCTTTTGAAAGCTTCAGGTTGTTGTTTTTTCTGAAGGTTCACCTTAAGATTTTCAGGTCCGTCGGGCTCATCAGGGATGAGGTTCACCTCATGCCGCGGCCGCTGAAGTTTTGCAGTTTCACAGGCCTCATTGAGCCCTCCACCTTCCCTCGGAAGAGGAAAGGCTCTGGATAAGAGTTCCTTGGGTTTCAGGGTGGTGAGGTACGTTTTTGCCCCTCCCCGAAACATCCTGGTCGGTGGGTTCTCCATTCATGTAAAGATTATGCCCCCAGCCACGAGATGATTGCCCACTGGTACCGCTGCTGTCTCCCCACGCTTGTCTCCCTGGTTGCAGTTGCTGCCTCGGACCTTGCGACAGCTCGTCTCTCCACTTGTCTCCGTGCTTTTGCTTGCTCACTTGGACCTTGTCACGGCTTGTCTCCCTCCTTGTCTCCCCACTTGTCTCCCAACTTGTCTCCCCACTTGTTTCCCCACTTGTCCCGCCACTTGTTTTTTTTCTTTTTCTTTTTTTTTTGTTCGTTTTTCTCCCACTTGTCTCTCCGCTTGTTCTCCTCTTCTTGCTTGTAATTGGTGACCCGGATTTTGTCATGGCTTGTCTCCTTGCTGCCTGCTGGTGCTTGCTGGCTCGGACGTTGTCACGTCTTGGCTCCCCACTTGCCTTCCCACGTGTTTCCTTGCCAGCGCTTGTTGTCCAATTCTCTCTCCCTCCTCCCGTGTCTCCATCCTTGTCTCAGTTCTGTATTTTCCATGGAACTTGCTTGATCTTGTTTCAATGACATGGAAAGCAAGGCTGCGACAAGCCTTGGCAACAACAATTATGTACTGAATATTGGTCGTTCTCAGTTCTTTGCACCCCATTCAGGCGAAGCAAAGCCTTTTCCTTGCATGATCCCCAGACTTTGGGGCCATTTGTGGTCCAATTGGCTAAGCGTCCTGATGCGCGCAGCTACTTGGGCAAATGCTGGTCGATTTTGTTCTCCCGGCTGGTGCTGAACAGGTCCCCCGATTCCAGTTGGCGCTTGCTCGCACGCCACGCGCTCTGCGCGTGCGCGGCGCAGCTGGAAAGTTTGAGGACCTCCGGCAGACTGCCCGCCTGAACCCGAAGGACTGCCTCGCCGCCTGGGAAACTCCGCCCTCAAATTGGAAAAGGCCGAGTCGCTGCTTTGGGAGTTAAGGAGGGGCCAACCCAAACCATCAACCCAAACCACCAACTAGAGGGAGGCTGAATGCTTTATGTCGCGTTTTCGCAGTCATCGCAGAACAGCAAAGCTTGTTTCGAGGGTTCTTAGGCAAGGGGTTCCAAAGTGTACGCAGCTTCGGGTGCCCTGTGCCCCCCCCCCCCACTGCCGGCCACGCTGTGACTTCCTTCTCGAACTATTGTGCTTCTTTTTTGCCCAGCACGCCTCGCGACAGTTGTCAGAATTCAGTGTGGCAGGAGTTCAAGTATATGCGGACATTGCCAGCACCAAGCTTCCGCAGCACGCCGGCTGCTCACTGACAGCTGATTTGCTTTTCATCCATGTTCCCTTGCACACTGACACAACGTTGTGGGTTTGTTGTCGACCATGGGTGGCCCAAGTGGATGTGTATAGCATCAGTTTCTTCTTGGTAACGTCAGATGTTGAGGTCTATAAAGTTATGAAAACGTTTCTAGCAGTTTCTGGGGGGTTCTGAAGAGAACAAGAGCAGACAAAAATAAACACCAGGAAAAAATCCTTGTTGGCTGAGCAGTGCAATTCCCTTGGAGGCTCACGCTCAAGGAGCGGACGCTGCTCTCTGAGAGTCTCAACCGGCCGCGGCCGCAGGCGCGGCCACCTTGCTTCCGGCCAGCGTCCCCTGAAAACCAAAAGTCAGGAACGCGCCACCCCCCCACTAAGAGACCTTTGGGGCGGTTTTTTCCGAAGGGCCATCGCGTCATGGACGCGAAGGGCTTCGGAAGGTCTTCTGGTGAATAGACAATAAGAATGGTTTAACCTTCTGTCTTTGCCGATTGCTGATGTGGGTATGGGTCAAAATTAAGCCACCAGGGGACGTTTCCATTTTGGGCATGAATGAATCTTTGTGACGATTGCTAGCGACACTTGTCCTGGGCCTGGCCGAGAGTCCGAGAGGTGCGCCATGAGCCGGCTGCGCCTTTTGACGGAGCCTCAGGATCCATCCATTCTTCGTGGCATATGGTTTGAAACCCCCACAGGCGATGCACGTTTTCAGGATCAGAAGTGGAGCGACTGCAGCGTGAGAGTTGCATCGTGCAGCTTGGCGAATTCACCTCTTGAGTTGCTTGGATGTCTGATGATGTCCGCAAGTTTGGATTTCGGGAAGTTGGCTAAGCTGAAATGGGAGATATTGGAGATAGAAGTGGCAAGTTCGTTCAAGTGACTCGTATCTTGCGGCATCGCTAAGGCTGCGCTCTTCGACGACTGCATGGAGTCGGAATATCGGCGCTCGCATGGGGCCTGAGAGAGACGGAAGTGCAGGGGAGAAGGGTCCAGCGGAGTTGCAGGCACGGGGCTTTGGGCTGGGCAAAGAGGGGCCAAGGCTTCTGGCGCCAGTGCATGTCAAAGGCGCGAAGGCGGCACTGGGTTGAAGCTTCTGGCCTCTGGATGCAAGCTGGCCAGATCGAATTTGGCTCAATGGCCGAGAATTGGTGGTCCAAGACCTGCAGTGCCCGACATGTCGACCTTTGTCTTTGGGACGTAAGAGTGAACGTGAAAGAGTGCAGCAGGACTCCAACTTTGCTCCAGCAGCGTGGTTCCATCCAGTTTCCCTTTGAACCACCCCCAAGGGTCTCCACCCGGACCAAAGAGGCAGACCCCCCTTGAGGCCCCGGCCCACACGGCAGGTCTAAGCTTGGCACCCGAGCACTTGCCATGGCGCGTGGCCTCATGCGAATGGGCAGCTTTCATGCCGCTCGGCCATCAATGGGCTGGGCTGGGCGATGGCTGGCTCCTGGCCTATTTTTTTCGGGGCTCGTTGCTCGCAGAGTTTTTTGTCTTAGGTGTGTTGTTTTGCTTTGTTCCTTCATTCCTGTGCTTTGTGCCCCCCCCCCCCCTGTTTGCCGGTTTCCGTTTCTTCTTTATTGCGATTGGTGACTAGTCTGTTCTTGTCATGAAAGCTAGCTTCAGCCAGCTGTGCATTCTACTTGCGTAAGAAAGTGAGCGGGCCAGATCACCACTTGCTTCTACCCCTTCAGGTCGTAGGTTCATTCTTCAATTCCATCCTGACCTTCACTTGGGTCATACAAATCACAATTTGGCAACTTGTTGATCGTATCCAAGGATTGGGTGGAACTAGTTCGTAGAAACAATAGCGCAGTGCCTGCCCCAGTTTGCGCCTCAGTTTCTCTCGCTTCAGCTTGCGTTTCTCTCAGTCTGAATGGCTGCTTTTCGCCGTTGGGTTTGGTTGCTATTTACATCTTGTCTTGAGCCAACTGAGGCGTTGACTTACGCATTGCGCCTGAGTGCGCGGCAAGTTGGCACACCTGGCTCGATTTCCCTACAATTTTACACCCTTGTTTAGGAGCAGGGTTGTGGGATCAAGGGGTTTCTCCCCACAGTGATACAAGTTGGAATCCCCCTAAAATATGAACAAAACAGTGTTTGGGGCTAGGCCCTTTCTGTTGTACAGAAGTGGATTCCATTCCCAGCCCTTAGGAGCCCCCAGAAAGGCCCCGGCCAAGGCGTGGCAGGGACGAAGGCCTCTTCAAGTGCAACTCTGACGCCCGGCGTTTTGGAAGGGACGTGACTTGGGACGCGGGAAGTCGGCCTTGGCCTCTCCTTGCCAAGCTGGTATGGGCCATTTTTTTGCATCACCAGGATTTGGACCGCAGGTTTCAGTCCTTGTTTCCATTTGCCAGGAGGGTTCCATTTTGGGGTTGCTCTGTTGTTGACCCGCAGCCAATAAGATTTCTTCATGGACGGAGAACGCCCTGCATGCGACACTTCCGGTTGAGGCCATCTCTGCCTGCAAAGAGCGCAGTGCGTGGGCGGAGGCGCTGGTGGTACTGCGGAGGTGTCTTGGAGGAAAAATGGCTGCGGGGTTTGCGAACTTGAGGGCAGATTTCGTATTGAGGTGGCCGGACCAGATTTTCTTGGTATTGATGTGGCCTATGTTGTTGAGGGTGAAGTTGAGGTCAGTTGAATTGGGAACGGTTGCCTATGTGGTTTTTTGCCCGGTGGCTGGGGGAAAAGCCCTGGGGAGCGGTTTCTTGCCTCCTTGGTCCACGGCTTAGCACCGCGCGGGGTGCGGTGCTCCGCATGCTCAGGATCCGGACCTTGGGCTTCTCACCCAGCGGCTTGGGCAATGCTTAAGGGCCTGACAGTCGGGGAGATGGGCGTGGGTCAAAATCAAGCACCAGGAATTGGACCGCAGGTTGTAGTCCAAGTTTACATTTACCAGGGCAAGCCGTTTTGGCTACATATTTTTGACACAGCCAGATGTGAAAGTAGATGGCCCATTTTTTGGGTTTAGGGCCCTTCTCTGACCCACTTGGACACTTGGAACGGGAATTGTGGCGTCTACGTAGCCTGTTGTACACCCTGCATGTGCAGTTGGCATACCACAAGGCGCGCCTGAGTGATCAAGCTGAAACTGCTTGAGGGTCCAGTTCTTGAAGGGTCCTGGGCTTCCGAACGCGGGGGGCGTCCAAAAATCAGAGCTCCCCAGTGAGATGGGGACTGGGACCAAAAAGAAGGCCGCATTGTTCACATCCAATTCCTGTCCTTGTTTCGCCTCTTCCAATGTTTCGTTGTTCGCCGGGTTTCCCCTGCCTTGTA